AGCCCTCTACGTTCATTACCATTATTGATCTACCAGTCCAAAATTCCTCTAACAATCGTCTGCCTATTTTCTTCAAATCTATCCTTGACAAAGTTAGCACTACTCCGTACTATTCGTCGCTTCTTCCCAACGGCCCCCTCGAATTGGCCCCCTCCCCGCCTCCCTTTTCCCATTCGAGCCTCTCAGATCACTTCTTGAAACCCTCAACCATTACTACTACTTATTAGTAGTAGTAGTAGTAGTGGCTTGTTGTCCGTCGCTAGGCTTCATTTCGTGCCGGTCCTCTCTCACTTTCCTCGTCCTCGCAAGCCCTTCCACCGACTTCTGAGGATCGCAATCAAAAGGGGCGTCGACACTTAGGGCAAACAAACAGACCCTCTCCGACCACCTGTCTCCTTCTGAAGAACGCCTGTGCTTTGCGATCGCAATAACTACTCCAGGCATATGCAATCACTATTGTTCGGATAATAATCAGTCTACTATCACCAGATCCGGCAATTGGAGCTTACATTGTCAACCTTTCTTCCCCGTGCAGTTGGGGGCAAAACAAGGTTTAAGATAAACAACAACCGGGGCAACAATTGTTGCAGCATTTTCGCGCTCACAAGAACCTCGCACGACACGCCCTTACAACTCGAAATCACGTCAGAAAATAATTTCCGCTCCAATTGGGGACTTCCTGTCCATCTTTTGTTCGGCCGTACTGTTGCACAGTTGCACGGAAGTGCTACTACACATCCAACATGCGGCGCGGTGTCTTGATCTTCCTCATTGTCAACCTGCTCATCATATCCTTTCTTGTGCGCAGTGTCTTCACCCTACTATCCTTGCTGGTAGAAGATGCCTCGGCCGATGCGATTCGTCACGCGGAGCTACCCTCGCCAAATTCGAGCTTAATTGAACAACGGCCGCAGATTATACCCAAAATCATTCACCAGACATACAAGAACGAGACAATTCCAGAAGTATGGCGGGAGGCTCAACAAAGCTGCAAAGATCTGCACCCTGACTATGAATACATCGTATGTGCTTCTATTCCCGTCAGCAGTTGTCTCGTTATACTAACATATCCTCCCGCATCAGCTATGGACCAACGAAAAGTCCCGCGAATTTATCAAGGACGAATATCCGTGGTTCCTTGACACTTTTGACGGCTACAAGTACCCGATTCAACGGGCAGATACTATCCGATACTTTGTTCTTGCTCACTTTGGCGGTACATATATCGACCTTGATGATGTATGTGTCCTATGCATGGCCACTAAATTGAACTGCGAATTCTGTTTGCTAACTCGAATCTATTCAGGGTTGCAACCGGCGATTGGATCCCCTGCTCTCATATCCTGCTTGGGTGCGTCGTACCGTTCCAACCGGTATTTCGAATGATGCCATGGGATCCGTTCCCCAACACCCGTTTTTCCTTCGAGTCATTGAATTGCTGAAATCTTATGACCGCAGCTGGCTGCTTCCTTATATTACCGTCATGTACTCGACTGGTCCTCTCTTCCTGTCAGTGATCTGGAAGGAATACATGCAAGATAAACCGAGTGAGGCTGCACGAGTTCGGATTCTCATGCAGGATGAATACAACAAGTACTCGTGGAGCTTCTTCACCCACCATGTCGGAAACAGCTGGCACGGTAAAGACGCCAGGTTGATTTTCTGGATGGGCCAGCATTGGATGTTGCTTACTGTCCTGGGTTTCATCCTCGCCGCGGTCGTGGGATTCTGCCTCTGGTGGGTTTATGGGCGCATGATTCTCCTGAGCTCGAAGTATCGCTACCGATACTCGAAACTACCCGGCCTGGTTCGCTCATCTTCCTCCCCCACACGTCGATCTCGAGGCATGATGCCTACGCTGCTTCGTCGTGTCAGCTTCAAAGAAGACGAAGAATCTGCCCATGTTACCGAAACCTCGTTCGAACTTTATAGCCGTCGCGATTAAGGTTTTACACCTCTTTAGTGACTGAAATGTGACCGTGGTCACCTCGCAACGCCCTTTGATACGACTCTTGCATCCAGCATTTCTTGTACCCACTATTCCCAATGGTCCAACACTGTTCTGAGACGCACAGTTCTGGGTCCATTTTTCTCTGATTATTCGTGCATGTATGGAGTTCTTCTTGGGTCACGGATTGACCGAAGCGCTTGTTTGGATCAAATTGTTGCTTGTACATGTTTTGGCAAGATGACTTGGATCTATCTGCATGCGAGGTGGTCTGCTAGGCAGCCTTCCCGCATTGTATTTGGCTCTTTTTCAAATTCTCGATCTACTTTGCTCTTCGCCTTTCATTCTCCGTTGTCTCTTTTACATATATTCCTTGTATTGATCTTTCACCTCCCCTTTTTGTCCCACTACCCTTCATGTCCACTATAGACTTGCGCTCGTGCTGGGTGTACTCATCCCCACTACAGATATCACGTATCGGCTGGATGGCAGACCGAAAATAGAATTTTGACAAGCGATGATACATTCGCGATTGAACAGGCCAATCAAATCCCAATTGTCTTCTTCATATAAAGTCCATGTATGCCTCTGTACTTCCAAGTTATCGTTCGAGGACTGATGGAGAAGAAGTCCTATGGAATTGAGGGCATGAGCTCCAGATCGCCCAGTAACGCGCAAGATATGGCGAGTCGGCGATTCTCCGTCCTGTTTGGCCATCAGCAGCATGCAACTTGGGAGAATACCGTGCAAAATGTTTCAGTTCCGATTCTCCGTATTCCAATCAACGTTGAGTTCGACACTGGCGGATCACCGCTAATACATACCAGGCATGGACGTGCTAGAGGCATTTGATGCACATTCGTCCAGCAACACCCTTGGGCCATAATCATCCTTGCTATGCTTGACGAACCCAAAACCACACCAGCGGTAGGATTGGTAATTTCAAATGAATCTACCCCTACAATTAGATTGGAATATGAGACAAAGTGACTCCATAGACCTCTCTTTGTTCGTTCTATGACCAGGCGCAGTCCGACCTGCCACTTCCACTCCACCCTGAAATATGTGGGAATGGGCAATGAAGAATGAAGACTCTTGTCGCCCCTTTGATGATAGACGATGTGACTAGTGACTAATGATCTCATCAGCATTACCTACATCGCGATTTGACAATCTTGCTGCCACATGAAATCATATAAAGCGTGTGTTTGAAGCCAACACCGCTCATACATACTTCGGTCTCTTCTCTTCCCCTTAGGATCTGTCTGTTATACAGTTTGAATGCCGGGAAGAGGTACAGGCCACAACAGCGCAGGTCAGCATGAAGCCAACTCATCTCTACAACGCTCTCTTCTTCCTCGCCCTCCCTAGCCTGGGCTACGCGGCTCCAGCATCCACTACCACTCAGCGCCAGAGGCAGGATCACAGGGCCCTGGACGTGAAGATCACAGCAGCACAGATCGAGACCATCGCGCCCAAGTCGACATCGTGCGCGAACCCGCCGGCCCCGGGTGAATGTGCCACGTCCGAGCAGGCCGCGGCGAACATTGCCAAGTCGTTCGAGACGTACAAGGTGACTTCGGCCGCGGAGCAGGCGGCCGTGGTCGGGCTGATGGCGTTTGAGAGTTTGGATTTCGAATACAATAGGAACCATTTCCCTGGTGTTCCGGGGCAGGGGAGTATGTTTTGCATTTACGTTTTGCGTGGGCAGGTCCTTTGGAGAATGAGGGCTGACCGTGTTGGCATTCGAATAGCTCGGAATATGCAATCGCCTGCGTTCAATGCCAAGTACGCGGCCTCCCTGCCGGCTCTTGCGGACAAGTTGAAGGATGTCTCTGGCGACCCGGCGGGTGTCCTCGACCTGTTGCTGGCGAACGAGGAATATGATTTTGGTTCCGGGGCCTGGTTCCTCGCCACGCAGTGCTCGCAGGATGTGCGGTCGGAGCTGCAGTCCGGCTCGGAGGCTGGATGGCAGAAGTATATCAGCAGTTGTGTGGGGACAGATGCGAATGAGGAGCGAAAGGCGTACTGGACGCGGGCCGTCCAGGCGCTGGGTGTTTAGAGTTCTTTTGAGCGGGTTTTGGATCTCGACTAAAGCTTCCATTTGAGGATTCAATGCAGTGTATTCTTTGGGATTCATCTGTGTCATCGTAACTTCGTCTCACGGACCGCTGATATATCCGTAGCAGAACAAACGTCCCGTTGCCTGACGTTTCCCCCCTCATTTACAGCCACGTCATCCACATCCCCAGTTCCCTTACAGCACTCCCTTCGTACTAACTATATCTCCCGCTCCGACTTCGCCAGCCACCCTTCTGGCACAGGCAGTGCGGATAGCCACGGCCAGCGCCTTGAACGCACTCTCCGCACGGTGGTGGTCGTTGTCTCCGTATGTGCAGCCAACATGCAGCGTGACATCAGCCGCCTGCGCGAAGCTGTGCAGTCCATGAGTTATCATCTCGGTGCTCAGGTCCCCGATCTTCTCCCGCTTGAAGCCCAAGTTGATCACGGCCCAGGGACGGCTGGAGAGGTCGATCACAGCCCAGGAGAGGGCCTCATCGAGCGGAGCATCGCCGCGTCCAAATCGTGCAAGGGATTGACGGGCGCCTAGGGCTTTGGTAAAGGCAGTACCGAGCGCAAGGAAAGTATCTTCGGTGGTGTGGTGATCGTCAACTGTTCAACACATTAGCCACGATATAGAGCTAGTGGACGTGGCTGAAGAACATACTGTACAGATCTCCCTTGGCTCTGATGGCTAAACTCCACCCAGAGTGTTTGGCCAGAGCATGCAGCATGTGATCCAGAAATCCGAGCCCGGTGCTCACGGTGATCTGCTGTGTCGGTGTGAATTGGGTCGCATGGGCGGCATTCTTGGGGGGTACGACGCCGTGCTTGGCGGCCTCTGCCTCCTTCGGGTCTTCAGGAGCAGGGAAATGCTCCGACGGTTCATATGGAGGGAGAACGCCGCCGTCGAGAGAGAGGGAGACCTGGATCTTGGTCTCGTTGGTCACCCGAGAGACGGTCGCTGTTCGTGCGGGGAGAGGCATTGTGTAGATGTACGGCAGTAGTTTCAGCAGTTGAAGGGTTGTAATTCTGATATTTAGTAGTCAAGCCGTTCCCCGTTCAATTGAATCCTGATTCAAGCTGTCGTCAGCAGTATCTTGACTTGAGGACCGGGTGATAATCAAGATCTGGCTCTGTCACTTTTTTTGGCGGAACATGTCCCGCGTATCAGTATTACCGGGAAAATGGACAATCACTTAATCCGACTGTATAGCTGCGTCATTCGCAGCTTTATCGAATGATGACAGCTGCAATTGTCATCTCAACTTTATGTCAATTGTCCTCTTGTATTTTTCTTTCTCTGTCCATAACATCCATAGGAGTCCTGATCCATTATCAACGCCTTCGCCATGCCTACAGTGAGTCAAAAAGGGGACATTAATCCTCCAGACGAGGTCACCTCGGAGGCTGTTCAAGGGTTCCTCACTGGAGCGTTTCGGGTGAGTTTGATCATCATAATCCTTGTTATCCAGATGAGTTCCATATCGGGTTCTGTACCAATTGCTTGTGTCAATTTATGAGTATGCGCTGGCGAAATGAGTGCAACATGCTGACGCACAGCTCTTGATTGGTAGTTTGGCTCCGTGTCCATCCTTGCACATATGATCCTTATGCTTCCTCATCCTTTCAAATTCTCTCCCCCAGCAGCAGCTCCGTCGACACCTCAATCTCAATCGCAACCTCCTTCGCCGTCATCCACTCGTCCGAGGACATCACCTTTTTCCAAGGCCTATCTACGGTCCAAATTCATCTACGGTCCCCTCGAGGGGTTTTCTGAGTGGCTGTCTCCGACGGCCCGGGTCTACCGGGGATTGACTCCGCAATTCAAAGTCTTCCTACAAATTGCGGCAATGACTCTGGGGGGATGCATCTGGGCCGAGCGGAGAGTGAACGAATATATTAATTACATGCGGAAGGTGAAACGAGCCGAACGACTACAGGCACAGAGGGTAGCACGATTCTCGGAATCGGAGTAGACGGGGTTGTACGAGTTTGAAATTTTATCGAAGGTCTCCACTCATCGAAGGCATCAGAGACCGAAAACAGAGAGCAGTATCGATGTGCGGCATTGCATAGTGTCGAGCCGACTCAATGACCTGAACGATACCAATGGTCTGCCTCAATGCCCTACATGCCACATCACTACACGGCTCAGCTGGCCGACGGGCTCATTCGGTCGCCGTTCTCTCCTCGCCACACTGGTTGTTCTCTGTGCGGGGATGAATCTGAGATAGTATGATCTCCGTGGTGATGGCTCGACTTAGGCCTGTAGATCCTCAGCTATGCGATTGCGTGGATCAGCGATGGGACTCCGTCATTCATCAAGAATACAAGCTGTGCTGCATCATAGACTTCCTCTCCAAGTTGATCACAGGACGAAAAGGGGCTATGATTGGAATAGATCTATAACATGACATCAGGGGAAAGTTAAGCAGCGCAAGTAATGATCATCCTTTGCCTTTCAGCTCTCATGAGGGGAATTGAGTCAATATAGATACAAAACCATCGTTCATCAATATACACATTATCATGCCGGAAGCCTGGAACTAGCTGGACTGTACTCCGTACTTAATACAGAACTCGATCCATATCGTTTCTCTTGGCCTGTTCAGGAGTACTATGGTGGGTAACCCTAAGCGAAAGTCACTTGCAGCCTTACTTTGCCGGTGTACGCGGCTATTCTTCAGTTTCGCGAAGGCGTCTAGGCTGGTGGATCAATGAAATAATAGGGCTTCAATGGCGCCGTTCAGACGAGTGACTAGTGAGTACCTTTCAGGCTTTCTCAGGTAGGATCGAAGTTTGGAAACCATGAAGGAGGCTGGAATCATTCCGAGTCACAAATCACCACATGCGTGATGGTACTTGGCGCTCATCTGCTGTCTTCAAGAAACGGGAGCCTTGGGAGGTAAAATTGAGACTGCGGAAGGCTTGGAGCTGAACTGTGTACCCTTTTCTAAGAGTGGAATATGAATTGGGTAACCCACACGATCCAGAGATCTGGTGGAGCTTGCGCTATTCGAAAGCTGTACGTATTTGTTGTAGTCTTGTAGATATACTTTCGAGGCGTTTTGTTTTTACTTCTCCTGAAACCCGACGCTGGAAGCGATGGACTATGAACTAAAAGTGTCTTCTTGATCAGTTCTTCTATGAATGCAAAGGTCCTCTGTTCGTTTATTTTGTCTACAACTGGTGTGGCTCAGATGATCGGATCTCGGGTCCATCACCCTTTTGTAAATGAAGGTTGCCTCAAATTGGTTGGTTTTCCCAGCCTAACAAGATAGACTAACAACTTACATATCAGGTAGCTTAAATCCACACTTTGTTTCAGATTTCGACCCCTTTTTAGCTACAGAGTGAGTACCTGGCTTGAGACTGAGGTATCTAGGTAGAGATTGAATCTCTGTCATGTGTCTGTCAGTGCCAGTGTCAGACGGTCAGTATTCAAGAAACCGATAGTCTGATACGGAAGTAAGTACATCGTGGATGCTATGATGCTATTGCCGCCAACTTCCCCGTACATTGCGATCGACTCCATCTGATCGTTTCCCATTGCGGAGCTCTATGATCACTAAGTGGGCAGTAAGCAGTAAATTTGCCATCAGCATCAGCATCACCATCACCATGAGGCATGGATCGTCCTTGACTGTTCTCGTCTTGCTCTTGCCGCCAGGGCTGTTTGCAGTCACTTGTAACTTCCATTGTAAGTAATTGAAGTAATTTCATACTAGAAACAAACTTTATAAAAAAGAAAAAAGGTAAATAAATAAATACCTCTCAGAGTAAAAATTGCTTAACTACATGATTCAACGCTGACATCATCCTTCTTGTCCATCAGCAAATCGAATGACAGAAGTCTCTGTCCTTGTAGGTACAGTTTTCTCCGGATTTCCACTCAGGAACAGATTTACATTAACAGTCGCCATTAGTCTATCTATCTATCTATATCAAGTTATCATATTACTGTCATCATCTTATTAATTCACCTGCTAAGACCACTAAGAAGAGTCGTCTTCCATCCATTGATTCTTCCCCTCTGGTTCTGGTGTGGAATCTTGTTCCTGTTCCTGTTCCTGGTTAATTATCCCCCTGTTCTTATCGTATATTCCCATACCTTCATATCTCATTTTATCATACTCCGTACCTTACCTAGCTATCCCCCTCCTCCAGTACTGCAAGACAGTACTCAGTTCATTCTTCTTGGTCGTTGTTGGCTGCTTTCGTGTCATATGCTTCCCTTTCCGGCGCTGCGTCCGCTGCTTCTGTTCTTCTGAATCTTTCTGGGCGGTTATCGTCTCTCTGCTCCTGTGTTGACTTCCTCAACCTATCTACCTCTTATTCTCTTGTTTTCTGTCCTCCTTCTGGTGATCGGTTTGGTTAGCGGTTGCCTTGAGCTCCTAGGAAAATTGTCGACTTCGAAATACTTCTTTTTCGCTTTTTTTCTTTTCTCTTGACCAGTCCCAATTGTTTATTAAAATCTCTGGCGACTACGTCCAAGCTACAGTACTTGACCTAAGTACGGTACCACTGTCCTCGCCGTAGCTTCGGTGCTTCCCCTCAGTCTACCAATTGCTTCTCATGGCGCCTTGACGGACTGCTGTATGTTTCCACCTCTTCCTCTCCTTTCCCTCTTTTTCCCTTTTCTTCCCTCTTTCTAATTAGTCTGCTTTTCCCTCGTTTTCTTTTCCCATCTTCCCTGCTCCACAGGCTGAGCTAGCTTGATGGTCCGAAAAATCATGCTCTCGCTATCTACCACTAGCCGCTCGTCATCCAATATGCACGCCCGTCATTACCATGTGGTGACACTCAGCTAACTTGGTTCTTCTTCTGCGCTTCTCTTCTAGTGAGAACGACGTCGAGGTCGTCGATGTGAGGACTTTTCACTCCTTTAATACTTCCCATACACTCGTTATTTTCTCTTTTTTTACGCTTGTCTTGAATCTCTACCTATTCCAATCTATCCGCTTCTCCCCGTCATGGCCGACAGCTCGGGGAAGAAAGAGCGCAGAAAAAGCCTGAGTGTGTTTAGCCCGTCCTCGACGACCTCAATTCTATCCGGCTCCGCGGTTACCCATGATCGATCGCCCTCGGACGACGTCAACACCCTCAAGAAGAGGAACCGACGCAATTCCGGGTTTTTTGGTGTCCGGAACACCAGCCCAGCAAGAGCTCCGGGCAGCTATGGTCAGCATTGGCCCAGCACGATCGAATCGGAATCCACGGCAGCCTGCATAGCGTCTACACATACAACAATAGTCCCAGAGGCCCCTCGTTCCCGACGTAAGTCCCTCCAGAAAAGGCGCACATCTGTCTTTGGTTCCTTGCGATCGCTTCATTCCCTGGATGACGACGAGAAATCTCTCGGGCGCGCAAAAGGTTCGCCCGTTGACGATGAAGACGCCTTTGCCTCTCGAAATGGAATCGGTTCGGTCATTCTGCACCATGGGGCGATCCAGACGACTGGGGGCATGTGGAGGAAGAAAAGTCAGTACCTGGTCCTCACGGATACGCATCTCGTTCGGTTTAAGAGTCAGAGCAAGGCTGCGGAGATGTTCTCCTCAATCCCTGCGTCCTATACTCGGTCCCCGGCAATGAATCGCCAATCGATTGCCTCAATCAACTCGTTGCAAGAACCCCAGCTTGCTGTTCCCAGCGATGCCTCTGTGGGAATCCCCTTGAAAAGCATCATCGCAGTCTACATGTTGGACGACGGGAGACCTTCGTCAATGGTCGAAGTTGCCTATCTGGACGAGCGGCTACACAAGGCTGCTTTTATTCAGATGCAAACGCCAGATCTCCAGGAACTCAACTTGTGGATGATAGGAATTCGTTCGGCAGCGGAAATGACCCGTAATGCGGATCCATTGCCCTTCGACCAGAAGTCGATCGAGTGCGTGGCCCGGATGCTCGAATACGAGAGAGATTACGACCCAGAAACGTTTCGTATGTTTCGGGTGATCCAAATGGCCTCCAGTAGCAAGTCTACCACACGGGCCTCATCGGACGACCTCACCAAGCTCTCCCCCACGGGGTGCTATCTTGCCCTGGGTTCGCACAAGCTTCACTTGATACCTTTGCACAAAATCTCCAGTCGCTCTTCCGTTGTTTCACTGTCCGATCTGGAAACCGCAACATCTTTCGGCTTGATGAACCTAACCAGTCTATCAATGGAATGGGGTGACGATAGCCTCCATCTGACGTTTCGGGTTCCGCTTCGCAAACCATTTTCGGTCTTCCTGGCTTCGGTACATTCGCTCGAGGTTGCTTTCTGGATAAGGCAGCAGACGGAGTTTTTGCGCCCGTTGTGGCTCCGGCAGCCATACGATTTCATCGTGCCTCGCGATTTGAATAATGAGAGCAATTTCCCCCCTGTCAGTTTGGACGAAGACTACGGTTGCTTTGATCGGACGCTGGTCGCCTATTCCGCCAGTTATGATATCGACACCTCTAACATTCGCTATACGATTGACATGCAATGTGACAATGCGCCCTGCTTCAGGCTTTTGCCGCCCGCTTCCCCACAGCGCCAGAAGTACACAGCTTTGGAGCTCATTGCGGTCTTACGAGCTCTTCGGTACAACGAGTCTTTCTGCTCTATCTCATTCAGCAGGGTCAGCTTGGATGCGCTCCAGGGTGTTCGTGATTTACATGGAGCGGACAAAGATGCCTACCTCACTCGTTCCGGCTCTCCAATTCACATTCCCGGCCAAGAGAGTTTGTCAGTGCTGTCGCAAGAGATTCGCGCATTAGCTCTGAAAAGCACGTACCTCAAACGGCTTGATTTTTCCTACACGTTGAGTCGCACACCCAAGTCTGATAGTGAGAGTCACGATCCAGGTTGTGGAATTCCCGAAGCCCTTTTCCCCATCTGCCGCCGGGAGCTCACGAGCGTCGACTGTGTTGCGCTCAATGGAATCAGACTCGGAGATTCAGATCTCGATTACTTGGTCGATGCTGCCTCGCAGAAAGGAAGTCATTTACGAGCATTGGAAGTAGGACACTGCGGCCTGTCCGTTCATGACATTGATCTTCTTATCTCGACAGTCGTTGCTCAAGCCTCGACGCTAGAGGCCATCGACATTTCAGGTATACAGGGCCGTTTGGCTCCCAACTTACTCCAACAGTACCTCGGGTACTTTGGCAATCTGAAAAAATTTGACCTCTCACGCATCTCCCGAACTTCGGGCCCGGAACCGCTGATCAGCGCAGAGACTTTGTTCAGATGGCGGCTGCAGGAGCTTTCTCTGAGTCGAACTGCAGTCAATAGAGAGACTGTCGATGCGATGGCTACTTATCTGGCCAGCGATCAATCTCGCGACCTACGTATACTTCGGCTTGACCAGTGTGGACTGACAGGGCAGGATGTAGCCATCATTCTGCACTCGATGGCTGTGCTTGGTGCGCCTCGGGATCTGCATCTTTATGTCAATGAAAACCGCCTAGACCTCGGTTGTTCGTATCTCTTCGACGCAATAGCTCAAAACAAAACACCATCGCATCTTTCAATGAGGATGATTGACTTTAAGAAGGAGGAGCAATTTCGGGAACTAGTGGAGGCTCTCAGGGTAAATCGAACCCTGAAATATCTCGACATCTCCAAAGCCTCACTGCCGTATGACGCCGGACCGGAGACGTGCAGATCGCTCCAGTTGATGTTCGAGGAGAACAACACATTGGAAGACCTGGATATCAGCGGTGAGAGTGCACACTTGGATGTGGCACGGTTTGGGATTGGTCTCAACCTGGCATTGACCGGCTTGAAAAAGAACAAGTCCCTCAAAGTCTTGAAGATAGAGCACCAGAAACTTGGATTTCAGGGCGCGAGCACTTTGGCCTCCGTGCTGGAGGAGAACACCTGCCTGCGGGAGGTCCACTGTGAGAACAACGACATCAATTTGCAGTCGTTCACTGTCCTGGTCAACGGACTCCAGCGAAACAAGACAATCCTGAATCTCTCTTCCATGGACCGCGACCGGGTTCAGTCCCTCGATAAATTCCGACGGGAGATTGAGAACGTGAAGCGTGATCTGAGCCACACGCAGAGCTATACTACGAGTTCTATTCGCCGCTCGATACATGCTGCCATTCACGTCAAGAATGCGGCGGTTGGGAATAAGTTGTCCAAGCATTCCTCGGCGACAAACCCTTCTCGTTCTATGACCTCCACATCTTTGAGCGCAGCGTCGACCACCTCCGTGCAGGCTTCCCAAGTGATGGATCACGATGTCGAGATTATTTTGAAATCTTTGAATCAAAAATGGGACTCGGAGGTTGCGCGCCTGCGTCGCTATCTCTTTCGGAACTACAACGTGGCCAATGGGATCGACGATGGCTACGACGATGCCTCTAGTGATGGCCGGCCGGCCACGGCAGCTAGCCTTGGGACGATGCTGGAAAGCCTGAGACCGAGTGGGTCGGAGCTTGCCGACGAGAAACCTACGACATCTCAGACCAGCTTGCAGGCTATGCCACAATCTGAAGCGGAAGCCGATTCTGCAACGCCATCAACTGCCAGCGCAGAAAGCAAGAGCAGCCATTTGGACATTTTCAAGAGCCTCGATGCGGAGAGTGACTTTCGAGCCGAACTCCACGATCGACCGCAGACAGCTGGCGTCGTGCTACCGCATCATGGGTCCGCAGGCTTATCACCAGAATACTCTGGCTCTAATGCACCCTCAGCGCGCTTGGCAGTTCCGGTTCCTGCGATTCCATCTGTTGCAGCCAAACCTAGCAGCGTCCGAAGTGCCCGCAGCTCGAGCTCCGTGTCTACAAGCGCGGGTACTGCTGTGAGCTCACGTAGTGCATACGGCACAGCTTCCTCGACCCTAAGGGGCTTCCTCAGCAAAGGTGTGTCGAAAGATCGGCGCGGACTTGATAAATTGAAACCTGGGCCTCTTTGTGTCTCTAATGATGCACCCCCACAGCTGGACTGGACACCGCCCCAGCTGGAACTGCGTGGGTTTCGATAGATGTTAGTGTTCACAGCCCCCAGAGCTGTGAAGTTTGATGAGCTTGTTTGGACTCGCTTGAACTCACGCATCGTCTCCCAATCAATGCTGCCAGTTCTGGGGAACCCCCATCTACAAAAAGTCCATTTACACTAGTCGGGACACATCTGACTTGTACGGCATAATTTGTCCCTGGATATCCGACAACAATTTGTTTCATTTTACATGTTGCTTCTTTCTTCCTTTCGCTCTCTTTATTGAGCCTCTCTGTACTTATTATCCAACCCATCCGCGATCTGAACCATTCACCCAGCTGCTGGAAGCAAATTCATGGATTGCTACCATGGCTGCATACTTCGAACAATATTGCCTGAACCCATTCCCCCATCCTAACTTCTACTCTTCTTTAGATTTTCTTTTTTTGGCTTTCTTTTTGGCGTTTGCTCGATTCTCAACCGATATCCCTCCGAGTCATTTCTACTATTTTCCTTCGAAAAGGCGTCTACCAAAGGGCTGAAAGCGAGCATCACACGGATCTGCGAGTTTGGCGCATGGACTTGGTGCGCGATTGTCTCATTCTGTCATAACATGCTACTTCTAGCGCACTGCACATCTCCTCGGCGTTTTACTTCTCACTTTCTTCTTTTCTCCTTTGCCGATCTCTTGTGTCATTTTTCTTATGGCATGGAGGTCTGATGATTCTAATTGATAATGTCATAGAGTTGCTGTCCGTCTCGAAAGCTGCGTTCACTCTCGAGATAATGCTCTGTTGAATACTATGATGTCTCTTTCCTACAGATATTTGTATTTAGAGAGGATTCATGTATGAATATATATTCTAGAGTTTATCAAAGCCGTCCCATTTGAGTCTCTTGAAGGTGTTGTAGTTACAGTCAGTGAAGTTGTTTTTCTAACTTGAATCTGTTCTGGGGACAGGCAGGTGCCATCACCTTCGCTGTATCATACAAACAGCTAGGACAGAGACTGCCGTTCTGGCACTAAACTATGAATCAAAGGGCATCTGAATGTTTACTCGAACTATTCAGAAATTGAGGTGACCATTATCAGAGTGATAACCGCCCGGTATGTCTGCTGAGAGACCCCATTGCACTGTCAGAGATCAAAAATTACATATTCTGTACAGAGAGCCGTACACTATTACATTGCTTGGAGGAAAACAACCATAAACGCCGGTATATGATGTAAAAGCCGCAGACCAGGCACCCAGAAATGCAGAGCGGCCTCTCCTTCTCCTGAAACGGTGGGTGGAGTATATATCAAGGGAGAAACCGAATGACAAGCTCAAGGTCAGAAGATAATGATTACAAAGGCTGAATGTCGCTACCACACGCGGGAAGTGAAGATGATTGATTAGACCGCATCACCCAGAACGACGATCCCCTGCTCCCTGTCGAGTTCGTCCTCCTTTTGGCGGAATTCGCGTCCCTGCCGGGCGATCTCCCGCAGTTTACGGATATATACATTGGCCGCGATGTCGCTCTCACCCTCTCCGGGGCCGGCAAGGGCCTTTTGCCGACGCTTCTGGCATGCAGTGTATAAGGCTTGCGCTTGCGGCTGTTTCAGCTCGGTCAGCTCCCACTGGACTGTCCACTTGTCGGACGCTTTGAAATTGGTCGGCCGCTCGACGTAGTACCCGTTCATTTTGTTCTTGATGACGAGGGTCATGGCAAGCAAGTCCCGGGTTGCTTCCTCTTGAGCCTGCTCCGCGGGTGCGCCTTGAGACTCTGACGCAGGCGATCCATCTGAAGTCGCCGGTGTCTCTTGAGCCACCTTGGATGCAGCGGAAATTTCCTGCGGCGGCCCCTCTTCTTTATCGCTCGATTCATCAGTCTCGTCCTTTGCTGGGGTGGCTGGCTGGCTTTCTGCTGTGTGAACTGATGGCGGGGGCGTAGGTTTTATCCGCTCTTTTGAGGGTAGGTTGAGAATGCGTCGCTGGTATGCCTCGATTTTCTCCTCGTTCTTCGTTTGAATGGCGTGGATTTCGTCATCGGTGACCGGCTCCGCGAAGATATACATGAACGGCGTCTGCGCATCCCGGGTCTCAAAATGGAATCGCAATGACTTCTTCGGAAACTTGGCGGTGGCTTTGTCAAGGATCTTGTTCCATAACGCTATGCTGAGTTGGAATTCGGCATCGCCCAGTGCAGTGTCGGACTGACCGTGCAAAGACTGGTCCATTTCCGGCAAACTGACGTACTGAAATCCAAAGATACGCTCAATATTATGGAAGGCGACAAAGATGCCATCCATACGACCAATTCGTACTTGGAGAGAGTACTTCAAGAACGCAGCTCGAATCATGTCAAAGTATTCGCGCTCATAGGACTCATAGCTGCCGAAGCGATTGCGAATCTCGTAACCAAGGCCATGTTCAAAATTGCGTACATCCATACGGATGGACACGACCGCTCGTGTCTTCAGATCGAACATTCCAGTTCCCGGAAGCCTGGGGTCATAAGCGTCCAATTGAGATCTCATGACGAAATCGCCCATTGTCGAATAGTGGTAGGCCTCGGGAATAGCCTGTTCCTCTTCCGGAGAAATTTTGTTCGTACTGGTCCTCCTGTATCGCTCAAAATCCTCCTTTGGCAGAGTCAGAAGTTTCTCCAAGGACTTGCCAAGGTTCATCAGGATATTGGCACTCTCAAACTCTTTATCGGCATCAATGGCGTATGCACCATCTTGATAGCGGAGAAACATGGCTGCCGGCGCCCGCAAAAGGCGTGTAAATGTACGCAACTTATCTGGGAAGCCCTGTGACAGGGTTCGGGCGTCGATTGGTCTCCAGGAAGAGAGCAGGTAATGGAAATGAGAAAGTACCGATGTCATGCTCGACGACGAACCCACGTACTTTTTCTTCTCCTTTGCTGCAATTCCCCGAAGAGTCTCGTCCCTGGACGACGTAATGTATTCCTTGAGTGCATCAAAATCGAATTCAGTGACAGGCATGATGGAGCCTAGATACGGATCGAAGTTGAAGACGCGGGATCGAGGATCGCGAAGATGATAGACACCGGGGCTTAAAGAACAGAATGTTAGCTCACGCTTGTGACTTGAACACAAGGTTGGAAGCAACTTACTTGAACAAGACTCTGTCGAGACCGAACGACAGTCGAGGAACAGAAGGGGTCTGAATTTTCAGAGCTTTGCATCAATCAGCCAAAACTCTAGAGTACGTTGAAGAAGGGATCAAAACACCTACGGGTGACAGATAACTCTTCGGAATGGAATACACCAGAATCTCGGCCCTGTGCAGCGCGCGCGACCGCCGCCAAGGTTTTGATGGATTCCCTGCCCCCGGGAGTTATACCTCTGGAATCCAGCAGAGCCACAACCGATTGAAGGGAGGACTGGATACGGGCAGTGCTGGCCGCCTAGATTTGCGGGTCAGCTACAGGGCGAACTGTAAAAAGAAATGGTGTAACTCACATCATCTTGGAATGAAGCCCTGGGATCCTCTAAGCCCGAAGCGAAGCTTGTGTCTCGCCTGACCTTCTTTCCGCCTGTCTGTACTCTTCGAATTGGTTGACCAGTATTTGGAGCAGTCCTTCTACTTCTCGTTCTTGTAGTTCCGGTAGGTAGCTCCTCGTCTTCGTTGTCCAGCGATTCGATGAGCTCTTCCTGAAGGGACGGAGACGCGCTGGCACTGGTTGAAGCTAATTTGCGAACAATGGACTTCGTGACATCCTCCGTTGAGGTGAAAACAGGTTGACTCTTCCTCTTTTTCCTCTTCTTCGGTGGGGAATCGTCCTTGGGGGAATGCAAATCAGCAGCTGGATCTAAGAATACAGGAAGTCTTCGGGCGTAGCTGGCTTCGGAGCCAGTACGAAGGAGAAAATTACCTTATTGGAAGTTGCATGAGTCTTTTCATCGAAGGCCTGGTCATCGCCAGATTTGGCGCGTGATAGAGGCGAGCTGTAGAACTGGCGCAACCAGGGACGACCTCCGAGTCCCTGAGCTAAGCAGGAGAAGCAGACATGTTCGCGGAGAGGGTCTCTCAAAGACCGCAGGGAGGTCCGAAACATCCAGTCCAGATGCGTCGCAGTATGCTTGACGAACAGTTAAGATTGTCCGCTCAATTGACTGAAGTCGTGGAGGTCAAGCGATGCTGTAAACGCGAGATCTTCAAGCGTCTAATGGGTCTTTTTTTGGCTTTTTCTGCCGGTTGGCGTTCACCGCCCTTGCTCTACTGATAACAGTTCAGATAGAACGATGGAGATGGAGATGGAGATAGTGTTATGTATGGATGGGTTGGCGATGATCTTCGCATAGTGTTCATTGAAAGAGTGACTGCCTGAAGAAATCAATGATGTGCAGATCGACATATCAAAGCTGCTGTACGAATTCGAAATTACTCGGTGATAAAAGTGCTACGTGCAATAGATGTAGTAATAGTGTAAGAGGTCTCGGAAACCTCTTTGCACCTTCAGAATTCGAAGCACTCTTGGATATCTCAGTCAAGACCCTTCAAATAATAACTATTTACTTCTATTAGGGAGCAATTGACGGGATACACCTCCTGGGATAGCCATCAGAAGATGAGGCCGATCTGCGTATCGCCGAATCCGGGGTCGGAAGGGAAAAAGAGGGCCCGCCGTCCCGCGATGAGAAAAAAAAAAAAAACCGGCGCAGTGCCTTTTGGGATGATCTGTGGAAAGCTTCTTTTCCCAACAGCCACATTTACTGCTGTCAACGCAGTTTGATCTCAAGTCAATTCTCTCAAGAGGTGAGCAATCTCTGGCTTTTGGTTATCCTGGCGTCTATCATGATTGTCTTGTGCCATCCCACTGCCAATTGTGAACATGCAATGAGTGAGGGGCACTGGCCAGGTGCCCCTCCGAGGGGTTCATGATTGTCTGTCCTCGATGATGTCTGATCGAGTCCAATCTCTCTTGACTTCTCTGCGCTGGGAATATGATTTACTTCATCTCTGAACATGACCGCGCGTTCGCTCTTGAGTCAGAACAATTGGAACAATTACAACAATCCTCACTGCCTTCTCGCCAAAACGCTAATATGACTCATCTCTTTCAGGTTTGCTCGAGAAAACTGCATCCAAGATGGCCCAGGAACAATTGCGCGTCCTTGTTGTCGGTAACGGTGGACGCGAACATGCGTATGCCTGGAAGCTGAGCCAATCGCCCCGCGTCGATATCGTCTATGTCGCTCCAGGCAATGGTGGTACTGCTCAGGGTGCCTCCAGCAAGATTACCAACGCCAACGTTAAGGGAGACGATTACCCTGGCCTTGTGGAGTTTGCGCAGAAGAATGGTGTCAACCTGGTCGTTCCTGGACCTGAGGCGCCTCTTGTGGACGGCATTCAAGGCTATTTCCACGCAGGTGGGTGGTGGTTCCCCGGGGGACCCTCTGGGTGATACTTAAGAGTACGGGACAAGCATATTGACGTGCGTGACAGTCGGAATTAGATGCTTTGGGCCTTCCAAGGCTGCAGCCCGCATGGAGGGATCCAAGACCTTCTCCAAGGACTTCATGAAGCGCCACAACATCCCCACCGCCGCATACCAGAACTTCTACGAATATGAGCCCGCACGTCAGTACCTCGACTCGGTGAACCACAACGTTGTCATCAAGGCAGATGGGTTAGCAGCTGGTAAAGGTGTCATTATCCCACAGACCAAGGAGGAGGCCCACCAAGCGCTCCGCGAAATGATGCTGGATCATCAGTTTGGAGATGCTGGTAATGAGGTTGTTATCGAGGAGTATCTTGAGGGCGACGAACTCAGTATCCTCACCTTCAGCGACGGCTATACTATTCGCTCCCTCCCTCCTGCGCAGGATCACAAGCGAATCTTCGATGGTGACCAGGGTCCTAACACCGGCGGAATGGGCTGCTATGCCCCAACTCCCATCTCATCAAAGGAGGTTCTGGAGGAAATCGACCGCACCATTGTGCAGCCAACGGTTGACGGCATGAGAAAGGATGGTTCGTCTGGATTCGACCCACTTCTAGCTTTGTCGGATGTATGCTAATCAATTTGATGACATTAGGTTTCCCCTTTGTGGGTATCCTCTTCACCGGTCTCATGATGACCAAAAACGGCCCTAAGGTCCTCGAATACAATGTCCGTGGCGGAGATCCGGAAACACAGACCTTGCTTCCGTTGCTCAGCGATGATACCGACCTGGCCCAGATCATGATTGCCTGCACTGAGCACTGGCTTGACGGTGTGGACATCAAGATCAAGCCCAACTTCTCCACCACTGTGATTGCCGTAGCGGGTGGTTACCCCGGCTCCTACGCCAAGGGTAAGGCAATCACTCTGGATCCAGCACCCGAAGACACATTGATCTTCCATGCCGGAACTAAACTTTCCGGCAACGAACTGCAGACCAACGGTGGCCGTGTCATTGCTTCCACCGCTACTGCATTCAGCCTCGAGGAAGCACTCCGCAAGAGTTACGCTGGCATTTCGACAATTCACTTTGAAGGCATGTTCTACCGCAAGGATATTGCACACCGTGCCTTCAGACAGAGGGACGCAGCTGCTTCCCAGCAGCAGCAGTCTCTCACCTATGCCTCTGCTGGCGTGTCCATCGACGCTGGCAATGATCTTGTCAACAAGATTAAGAGCTGTGTCGCTCGTACAAAGCGCCCTGGCACGGACGCAGTGATCGGTGGCTTCGGAGGACTCTTCTCCCTTGCCGCCTCCAACTCTGCCTACCACCCTAATTCCCCCACTCTGATCGGAGCGATCGATGGAGTCGGAACCAAGTTGAAGATTGCCCACACTGTGGGTGTACACGACACCGTGGGAATCGATCTGGTTGCCATGAACGTCAACGACTTGGTTGTTCAGGGTGCCGAGCCCCTCTTCTTCCTTGACTGCTACTCTTGCGGTAAGTTGGACGTCGAAACCGCCGCCGCCTTCGTGACCGGCGTCGCGGACGGTTGCGTGCAGGCGGGCTGTGCCTTGATCGGCGGTGAAACCGCCGAGATGCCAGGCCTCTTTGTCGACGAGACCTACGACGCCGTTGGTGCCGCCGTCGGTGCCATCAACACCACCGGCGAGAACGCCCGGGCCATCCTGCCAGCCACCTCTGCCATGCAAGCCGGTGATGTCCTGCTCGCGTTGGCCTCCTCTGGCCCTCACTCCAACGGATATTCCTTGGTCCGCAAGATCGTCGAAAGATCCGGACTGAGCTACAACGACCCCGCCCCCTTCACTATGCCTTTCTCTTCCTCTTCCTCCGAATCTCTGACCCTGGGCCGCGCCCTCCTCACCCCTACCCGCATCTACGTCAAGCCCATCCTGAAAGCTCTGTCAATTCCGCCCTCCAACAGCGCCAGCGGTTCCTCCTCCGCCATCAAGGGTCTCGCCCACATCACCGGTGGCGGTCTGGTCGAGAACGTGCCCCGCATGCTTCCCTCGACCCTCTCGGCACACATCAACGTCTCCGCCTGGCAACTTCCCCCCGTCTTCGCCTGGCTCAAGAGAAACGGCAACGTCTCCGCCACCGAGATGGCGCGCGCCTTCAACTGCGGTGTCGGCATGGTCATCGTGGTCGAGAAGGGATCCGAGGCCGCGGTCAAGGAACTCTTCGAGAAGGAGGGTGAAGTCGTCTACCAAGTCGGTGAGCTCAAGCCCCGCCAGGGCGGCGAGGAAGGCTGTGTGCTTGAGGGATTGCAGACCTGGGATGCTTGAAACTGCTTGCGAAGAACAAAAATTTCTTTTCCTTCTTTGTTACCTACTATATCTTATGACATGCTCTCTGAAAGTTTTTTTTTTTTTTTGATTATCTATATATTTGTTGACGACAACTTGAGTTGCCTACTACATAAGTGATGATGAGGGATGAATGACAATAATCCATAGGTTGAGTGAAATGCACTTATAGAATGAATACAAGCAATAACCACACAACTATGTACTCCTGCAAGAGCACCTAGATTCCAGGCCTGAAATCATGTGATACAACTGCCAACCACCGTCAGCAACTGCATTCATACTGGCCAGGCACGAGATCTAGGCTGTGACATCATACTTATAAAACAGACTACAGGACTCATACCAGCACCGAAGACCAAAGTCTCCAGCGATATTCCAAATTGTTGAAGATAAAGAGCAGGCCCGAAGATCAGAATCTCAATCGGGTCAAACATGGGAAGCAATAGGATTCAAACATGCGCTGAACTATACGAGGACCGTCACCGCACCGTCCACAAGACCCATGTACACTCCCTCTACACTGCTTCCTTTTATCGGCTACCACTACTCCTTCGGGCCACATCCTGTGAGCCGTCAGAAATTGCCGGTACACCGAGCAACAGGCATCTCAATGGTAAACCATCTCTATTTCACAACTAATATAAAAAAATTCCTTTTCCAGGCAATCTTTTCCTCATAGTGCGAGTCGAGAAGGCCTGCATGTCACCATTCCCTCCGTTCGGTCTTTTGATACAACGGGACAGTACGAGCGAAGAAAAAGAACCAAATGCAAGAGCTGTAGCCCGGTCAGCTTGGTGTCATGGACAAATCAGGAGAACATTTATGGAAGATCGTCATACCTTAGAAGCACTTGCGGTGAACGATCGAAGGACCGCTCTCGTCGTACTCCTGCTTGGAGATCCACATCTGCTGGAAGGTGGACAGAGAGGCCAGGATGGAACCACCAATCCACACAGAGTATTTACGCTCAGGAGGAGCAATGATCTTGACCTTCATAGACGAGGGAGCAAGGGCGGTGATTTCCTTTTGCATACGGTCGGAGATACCGGGGTACATGGTGGTACCACCAGACTAAACGAAGAAAAGAAAAATGAGCACACGATTGAGAAAAGATGGCGTGAGCCGGAACAGAAAAGTAGTAGTAGGGCTTACCATGACAATATTGCCGTAGAGATCCTTACGGACGTCGACATCACACTTCATGATGGAGTTGAAAGTGGTGACGTGGATACCGCCGCTTTCCAGACCCAGAACGCTAGGCTGGAAGAGAGCCTCAGGAGCACGGAAACGCTCGTTACCAATGGTGATGACCTGGCCATCGGGAAGTTCATAGGACTTCTCCAAGCTGGAGCTCTGGGAGGCAGTCTGAATCTCCTGCTCAAAGTCGAGGGCGACGTAGCAAAGCTTCTCCTTAATGTCACGGACAATTTCACGCTCAGCGGTAGTGGAGAAGGTGTAACCACGCTCAGCCAGGATCTTCATCAGGTAGTCCGTCAGATCACGACCAGCCATGTCGACACGGGAGATAGCGTGGGGGAGAGCGAAACCCTCGTAGATGGGGACAACGTGAGTGACACCATCACCAGAGTCAAGGACAATACCGGTGGTACGACCGGAGGCGTAGAGGGAGAGAACGGCCTGGATGGAGACGTAGAAGGCGGGAGCGTTGAAGGTCTCGAAGACAATCTGGGTCATCTTCTCACGGTTGGACTTGGGGTTGATGGGGGCTTCGGTCAAGAGGACAGGGTGCTCCTCAGGAGCGACACGGAGCTCGTTGTAGAATGTGTGATGCCAGATCTTCTCCATGTCATCCCAGTTCGTGACGACACCGTGCTCGATGGGGTATCTGAGGGTGAGGATACCACGCTTCGACTGTGCCTCATCACCGACATACGAGTCCTTCTGGCCCATACCAATCATGATACTGCGTTGAAAACGTCAGCGACCATAATTCGAGCTAGCGCGACAGATCAGAATAGTAGGGGGGTTATTTACCCATGGTGACGGGGACGACCGACAATGGAGGCTATCTCGCATGTTAGCATTTTCAACTCATCAAATTAAGATGTCGCGCACGATGATTAAGGAAGAGGAAGCCGCCACTAGGGAAGAGCCACCCGACGCAAGGGCAACGATTGACAGATCCCCTTGGCGACAACCTGCACAGTGACATCAAGGGATGACATATTGTAGGAGGGGTTGACTCGAAGGTCTAGCATTATGGGGTGAGGGGTTGACTTACGGAAGACAGCACGGGGAGCATCGTCACCGGCGAAACCGGCCTTGCACATACCCGAACTACGAACCAAGTGTCAGTACGAGATACCAATTATTGCGTTCATCATCTCAAGAGCATTTGTCTCTCTGCATTGAATAGAAAGAGAATCCAAGTGAAGAACTCCGAGAGGGGCAACTGATGCCAGCGCTGGAGACTGGAAAAGGCGCCAAAGGAGCGACCGACAACTCGGACGGTCAGGAGGCCCAGGAGCGGGATTCCTTGGATAAACAAAGCCAAAGTCGAGAGAGAACCATCAAATAATGCTGAAGATAAAGGAACATACCCATTGTCGATGACGAGAGCAGCAACTTCTTCTGTAAATTGAGACGATGCAATTGTCAGTTGTTGTCCACTATGACGGTGTGTAAGGCAAGCGAGCAGGAGGGGGGTGGTGGAACGGGGGGGGGGTTGTTGTTTGGTGGCAGGGAACCCAAGCAAAGCTGTTGAGGTGTCAGAAACAACATACCTTCCATGGTGACAGAAATAGGATTAAGACGAAAACTACAGAGAAGAAAAAAAGAAAATTAAAGAGAAGAGGGAGAGAGATAGAAAATGGGAGGGAGAAAAGAGATAAGAGGGGAGGTGGATGGGAAAGTTGAGTTTGAGTACGTAAGTTGGGAACGGATGGGTTTGTGTAGGAGGAGAGAAGAGCAAGTGAGAGAGTGAGGGAGAGAGAGGGAGAGAAAGAGAGGAGCGAGAGAAGTAGGATAGCTAGCTGGGTTAGCGGTAAGGTAACCTAGTAGTATTGGTCGGGGGATGGAGGAGAAGGAGAAGGGAGAAGAGGGGACTAAAAGGGAGTGGACTAGTGGTGTGGTGGAGGCTGTCCACCGCCACTGATACCGTTATCCAAAGTATTTATATGGATATGTCTACAGAGAAATCATGAAGAATATTGATTTCTACAAAAGTGATGCCTATTTGAAGCTGAACTATGATAATCATCTTCAGATAGACTAATGCTAATTGTTCCAGAATACTGTTGCCTCTGATGATGACGATGCGGCTGCTGATGAAAGACGCTCGGTAGAGTAAGCTCCAACGCCGTACTCCATGGAAGTCTGGAAATCCATAAGGCAGAATCATTTCCTCCGTCGATATCTATCTAGTATCTCGATCTGAAGGAAGCATGTTGAGCATGGCGAGTGATAACGCTTAGGTGGCCTTCCACGAGGCCAGGAGGATGGCAAAAAACAATTGCGCATGCTTCGTGGGGCAGATCCCTATCCAAGGACCAGAAAAAGGCATCAATGCCCCAATCATGGATCGGAAGCTTGGGGATGGTTCCTCCTGTCACCGGGCGGACCAGAAAAAGGGTTCATCCTCATCCTCATCCTATAAGCTACCTTACCGATCATCGAATCCCCTTACCATAAAGATGGAGGTACTCCGTACTGTCTTGTATATTGGATACATTCTGATGAATGGCCATCGAAATATGCTACAAACCCTTACCTTACCTGCTGGAATCGGTTTGTTTCTTGATTCCTTACCAAGAACCCCTGTAAGATTAGGCCATAGCAGTCCATCACTGCAATAAGAGCGGAAGAATCAGCCTAGTGGTAGTCTACAGAGTAGATAGTCCAGGCTCTATATTATTGACCCCATGTGCATGAGTGCCTGATTGACTCTCTTGGATGTCAATGATCTTCTGTATTCCCCTATCATCTTGGAGAGAAGGAGACAGCTGGTTCTGGGCTTATATTCACCGCCTTTTGGGAGGATCCAGATCATCCATAGAACAGTGGCAGCATCAAAGCTTCAATCTCTTCTTCATATGCATCCAGTGCGCACAAATACCATGAGAATACTGAAGAGGCACACTCAACAAATCTTCATCAAATTCTAAAACCCAAGAATTTGCCCTAGGAACAACTGGTGGCCAAATGAACTCAGCCATATCTCATCGCGGGGTTAAGCGGCGAATGGCGGGGCAGTTTACAGAAGAGCAGGTCCTAAACAGCCATACAGTGTCCCATACCAGTAATGATGATCTACGGCTAACACCTACTATTGATCTTAAATTTATGCCCCTGAATGTCCGTAGAATCCTCCTCAAATAATAATTCTATACAACTGTTCTTACTGGTGTCGTTCTGTGTGTGGGCATGTGGAAGCGGGTGGAACGCCCATGAATCATCTCGATTCGTCAGAACAACCTAATACCGCCGCCCGTCTGGAGATGCTACTCCGAAATAAAGCAATAAGAAAAAGAAAATTGTCTGAGACACATTTTCTTCATAAAGATTGCAATACATTCAATTCGATTTTCAATCTGGTACCCGAATATATCATCGTCATATATCAATTGCTATATTCTGAGCATACTCTCCAGCGACCTCAGGTTTCAACCCTAGATCAAATCACTATCATATCATCACCATGGACCCCAACATGAACAATCTCCTCAAATGGAGTATCGAGAACTCAACTTCAGCCAAGCAGGCCGGCGATTCCGATGGCGCTGCTCAAGCCCCTACCTCTCGCAGTCTGAACCCTGAGATGCTCTCCGCCCTGTTCGGTGGCCCCTCAGATGCCGACCTCATGAAAGCCGCCATGGAAGCGCTTCACTCGGACGAAGTCGATCTCGAGAACAAGATGATCGCATTCGACAACTTCGAACAGCTCATCGAGTCTATCGATAACGCGAACAATCTGGAGCCCCTGGGTCTGTGGACGCCCCTCGTGGAACTGCTCAAGCACGAGGAAGCCGAAATGAGGCGCATGGCCGCCTGGTGCATCGGAACCGCCGTGCAGAATAACGAAAAAGCGCAGGATAAGGTATGGGCTTTGTTCCCGGCTCACTTCCCGTTGTACCGTGGAGAAAAATGCTAACAGAGTGCATCTCCAGCTCATCGGTTTCAATGTCCTCCCAACCCTCGTCTCCATGTCCACCTCGGACCCGGCACCCGCCGCTCGCAAGAAGGCAGTGTACGCCATCTCTTCCGGAGTCCGCAACTACCAACCCGCCATGGACGAGTTCGTCAAGCACCTTCCCGAAGGATACCCTCGCGGAGAAAAGGTCGATGCGGGAGATATGGATGCTATCGATGCCTTGCTGGACAGACTCAGGGCTCACCCGTCCGAAGTCTCCGCGTGAACCTACGTCTACATTGCATTTGGACATATTCTCTCATTCGCTGTGATGCTATCACATGTGTGAACTTCACGAACCGGATGAATGGCTCCGATAGGGGCAGGAGTATCGTCACCCCTGCCGCCCGCCATTGCTGCGTGTGGCCCCGCGTGTCTGGGTCGTCGGTGGGTGACCACCGCTCGGTTGTATAAGAACATGACTAGCTCCTCTTCGAGTGAGCTATGCTTGGCGGACTCTCATCCTCCTACCTGTATATCAGCGCGAAGTCAAGCGTTGAGCATGACTCCGCTAGGCTGCTGCTATGTTTGCACTTCCGACCTTTGCTCCGAGGGAGGAAGCTTGCATGTTGCCTGTTTGCAGATTTATAACCACTGCGCTACGTGCATTGCACGTGTACACGGACAATATTGATCAATAACTGTAAAAAACAAATTTGGCTTTCCTTTCGCGCCAGCTTGCGTAATCTTCACTATTTTAGATGATGTATGAAAGGTCGCTGCCTAGCCTTAGATTACCCTTACGTTAATGCCAAGAGCGATGTATACATGCCCAAAGACCATTTCCGATACGCTATTCTACTACCTATGTTCTCTACGCAAGCAAGCTTGTAATCTTTGGAATTTCAATCGTAGAACAATTCATCGAGTATAAACATAAACATGAGTATAGGTATGACAGGCTGAAAGTACAGAACTCGAGTACAAGTGCGCCAGTCCCGGGAAAGCAAAGAGCGTATGGCTGTGACGCACTGGACATGCTCCTACTCGTACCCAAAAAGACATCGAACAACCCACGCAAAATCCAAAACCAGTCCATGGCTACAACGCGAGGTTGTAGGTGTAATCATCCTCTATGTTCTGCGAGATCCATAGAACAATAGTACTGCAGCAAATCAGTCAGCAACTGAGACAGACGTAGAGCTGCACGGAAACGCATCAACAAACCTGAGCATGACCAAGCCATTGGCGATGACGTTAGCGATTCCAAAATACAACGTCGGTAACGGGTACTGCTTGATCAGATATTTCAAGACCATGACCGTCTATGTTTCCAGTCAGTACTTCAGTCTTCGACGTCTGCAGCAGGAGCAAAGAAAGAAAAGACGGACCACACTCCCCGCCAAACCGCCCGCCAGAAGCGCAAACCCCAGGAACAGCACAAACCGCGCCTTCCAGGCCACTCCGCTCCCGCTATAGCTGAAGCTATCTGCCTGCAGCCGCGACTTCTCAATCGAGTTGATCACCAACATTCCGAGCGCCGAGCAGATGCCGGGAATCCAGTCGACGAACTTGACGTGTACATTCGACCCGTTGCGCGAGCTGTGCGAGAATGCCGCGGCATCGACGAGGAAGAAGAATCCGAGGGAGAACTGGTCGCAATATATAGTCAGTCACTCTTGTGCTCAGTTGCGTTGAAGAAGACGGGGTGTAGCCCACCAGAGCTCCAGACGTGTAGACGCCCGCACTGCGAACGGTCGAGTTATTCAGCCATTCTGGCTTGGACCATCGGAAGAGACGGTTGTTGGAAACTTCCATTGCGAGTTTTTGTTAGATTCAAAAACGTGGGATCGACTATCTATGCTAGAACTCCAACATAGGCGTGGGGACGTATGTATATTTGCTCGATCGACATGCGGATGCACAGCTATCTGGGGTTATGATGCAGTCGTGCCCGGAGCTCGGAGATTCACAATATCCGACATATTGCGTAGCGCATCCTTGCCTTTCTACTCCGTATCAACATGGCAAATAACGGGATTATGATTTAATTGTTTGCTCGCCACAGACATCTGAAACAATCATGTCTGACTTGGTTGAATTTACTTGTGCGAATACTGCTGTAGAGCGAGTCAGCTACGCGGTTACAAGCCTACAAAATAGCTCTCTTCATAGACATTGAGACCCCGGATCTAGATGTGGACCAACCAAATTGCTTCAAGATCAAGTATTCATGATATCGTATCTCATCAGCCTGTACCAGACAGGTATTAATGCTCTTCACAAAATAGTCTCAAAAACTCGTCTATATATGTCATTGCCTTTTCTTTTTCTAGCAAAGGCGGAAGGTCCTTTGCGCCGGTGCCGGAGCATTCCTTCAGATACTTGCGGAGGGCAAATGTTGATGCGCGATAAGTTGCATGATACATGGTCTTGAACTCATCTTCGTCGGTACTGGATGTTGCCCCTATCTCCGTGGGCAAATTTATATCGGAATTCGTCCCGTTGCCATTTTTGGCTGTGCTTGTAGATCGCGATGAGCGATTGAAGCCGTACAATCGCATGCATGTCAAGATGGTACGAGTGATGGTGTTTTTATTCTCAGAAACAATGGTTTCTGCATCTTTAGGTGTCGAAGAAGGCTCCAACTTGTCATCCGAAGAGGGTAACGCCGGCGACTGTTGCCTTCGGGAGGTAGATTCCAAGAATGGATTCGGGGTGTTCTTTCGCGAAGTAAAGTGACTTCTGCGGCTGCTGGGTCGGGACTGTTCATTTCGAAGATCAGACGGTTTGAGGGGATGCAGATTGGCTCCAATGGACAATGACCGCGACCGCTGAGAGACTATCCTTTCTAATAGTGGAAGTGACGGTTCCTCGGACTCACGCTTGATTCTGAGAGTCTGCCGATGTTGGGAAGAATGAGAAAGTGAGCTGGCCATCAACTGGGACACTGCCTCTCCTCCTTTCTGTCGCACTTTCTTGTGGTGCTGAGCAGCTGTCTCAAACAGCGTAGCGACTCGTTTACGCTTGGGACTGGGTGACCGAATGTCCGGAAGAAATTCAGAAAATCGACCATCGCTGGCGAGCCCGTCCGGATTTCGCGGTGGGGAACAAAGAGCCTGAGTCTTTGTGATGAGGGATGAAGAGAGGGGGGTCGCATAGATCCTCAACTCCTGCTTATGAACATGAGATGCATACTCACTCGACCCGGGCGAAGATGAGATAGGCGGAGTAGGTGGCCGTTCAAACGAGGCTGCGCTTGACAAGACACCATAGACCAATAGATCTGTTGCAAGGAGACCAGAGGCCTTGGTTCCCGATGGTCTGTTGATACTGAGAAGGATTCCAACCGGACATTGAAACGTCTCGAACTTTTCTAGTTCCTCCTCCTCCAACCATATATTGCCCAGCAATTTGCTCTTAAGCCATTGTGATGTTTCAATGTCAGCTGTGTGTACTTCAAGGCTCGGTCCAGTTCTCGCATAAACCGGTATTAGTGCGGGATTAACGAAGGAGCGAAAGGCCAAAATTGAGTCTTTGAGTGTATCCGATTGCCAATTCGACGTCGGGTCGATTAGACGTAAACCTGTAGATTCGGTAGTGAGCAGCGCGCAAAGCAGCGGGCTCAGTCGCGTGAAGCCGTACCTCGAAGCTGAGATTGCCTGTCCAGCGCAATGGCTCCAGACCAGATGTCCATTTTAAAGTAACTATATGGCCCGAGAACCACATATCTTGCCAATATAAAATTTCGCTGGTACAGATAGAGACGCACTTAAATTAGGATGCTGTAGTCGGAGGCTTCAACTTGCACCACGACACGCTCTGAAGACCGGCGCGAGGTCACGTGCTGTCTATTCCATCTATGTGAACTAATTAGACGACATGGCTGATCTGAAATTATATCTATACCAATATCCTGCAAGGATATTGCATGGAATTCAAAAGGAAAATCGAAGCTCAAGCTCAGCTAGGGTTATTAACCAAGAAATACCGTGGTAATGCTCTATATAACTTCGCATCGGCTATAGTACACCGTTCGTATCGCTGACGAAAGCAAGGTCCAATGGAACAGGCTGCAATTCATGAAACTTCACATAAGAGTAACCGTATGTCAAATCAAGCGAAAAAGAAAAAAAGAAAAAATCGTCACTTGCGATGAGCCAGTGCCCTCAGACTTCACAGAGGTTTATAAATGGTCTGCTAGAATGTTTTGTAGAGAAGGTATTCGCCCCCGAGCGTTCCCCGTTGCAGCCGACGCTTTACGGAGATCAAAACTCCTCTTGCTCCTTGAAGAACATCGAGAAACTGATAATAGTGCCGTAAATCAGAAGACCTCCGAGGATGGACATGATCATGGCAGGGAGCTGGATAGCGCCGCTATGCGCAAGCACAGCCGGTAGGGCTAGATTCATCTGCATTAGACACCAGTCATATGACAAAAGATTTGCAAGACATATAATGAGGTCATTCTATGAGGCACAATTGCGACAGAGGAAAGAGGGTAGTAGTAGGGTTAAACTCACCAATACCCATCAATACTAGGAAGCCAGTCAAGAAACGCCCAAAATCAGCGACTGCGTTGCCAGAGCTGTCCATAAAATCATCCGGATTGGCGCATCGGGCGCAAATCCAGTTCGGTAGAGGAGCGATGACATATGTCGCAACCACAGTCAACGGAAGGAAGTTGTGCCAAAGAGCGGAGGAGAGGATGACCAGAAGAAAACCAATGGCGAGAACCTAAGCAGTAAGAATACCAGATCAGTACAATGCGCCACCAAAGCGATAATAAGTAACGGGAGACTCACAAAGGAGAGCGCGATAATAGTCTTAAGACCCGCCATCATGACTGCGGAGATACAGGACCTCGAAGGCCCAAAGGCAGGTGAGAGATTAAGGATTCGTTCTGCGTAAACAGAGCCAACAGCAGCTTGACTCCAGATATCAGGTAAGGTCAAAATCACAGGGACAGTTTTGTCTGCATCGAGACGGTCCGGGTCGATTTGAGTGATAGAGTGACAGGCGTGGTGGGCTGGTAGCGGCACAGCTGCAGCTGTGGAGGTGACGTTGGCAATGGAGCGTTGGCAGCCTCAGGCACACAGGCCCAAGCTTATCCAGCAGGCGGAGAGCTTCCCTTACTACTGACTGTTGCTGGAGGTCACCGCGTCAGTCGCTCACTGCCTGCTTGAATACTGCTTGTTTCTCTTCCCCCCCTGCATCATCAATCTTTTCCCATCTCTTCCTGTTACTATTTGAGCTTCACAGGAGCATATTCTATCAAGACCGAATTCTCCTTACTCCAGTCACTCCTCAACCATAGCCCGCAATCATGTTCAGAAACAATTACGACAACGATGCGGTCACCTTGTAGGTCTCCCGAGCTATCCTATCCATGATGTGAAGCTTTCTCGTATCTGATAAACCATTGATTGGGACAGCTCGCCGCAAGGCCGGATATTCCAGGTTGAATATGCACAGGAAGCAGTCAAGCAAGGATCAGTCGTCGTGGGACTTGTCAACAAGACACATGCCGTGCTGGTCGGTCTAAAGGTTCGAACTGTCATCGGATTTCACTTGCTTCCATCGCAGAGGACAGCTGATATGCTAATACGGTTTAATCTGCTATCTTCTAGCGAAACGCCGAAGAACTATCCTCCTATCAGAAGAAGATCATCGAAGTTGACTCCCATATGGGCATTGCTATCGCCGGTCTGGCATCGGACGCTCGTGTACTCTCCAACTTCATGAAGCAGCAGTGCCTTGGTTCCAGAATGACTTACGGCCGCCCGCTGCCAGTGGATCGTATCGTTACTCAGATCGGCGATCGCGCCCAGACCAATACTCAGCAATATGGTAAGCGACCATACGGTGTCGGTCTGCTCGTTGCAGGTGTCGACGAGGCGGGACCCCATCTGTTCGAATTCCAGCCATCCGGCATGATCCAAGAGATGCTTGCTTGCGCCATCGGGGCTCGTTCGCAAATGGCGCGGACTTACCTGGAGCGAAATCTGGACAAATTCGCCGACTGCAGCCGGGACGAGCTGATTAGCCACGGGCTTCGGGCTTTGAAAGAAACTTTGTCTCATGACAAGGAGCTGACGGTGGACAACACATCTGTCGGTGTGGTGGGTCTTGCTGGAGAGGGGGCTAAGGGCAAGGTCGAGAGTTTCAAGTTATACGATGGCCAGCACGTCTCACCGTTGCTGGAAGCTCTTGAACAGGCAGAGTCCGGGGAGACGAAAGAAGAGGAGTCGATGGAGGTCGATTCATAGTTCCCTTTGAATCTTAACGCCCATAGATATGCAAGCTTGATCTCTTTCCTCCTCATGCGGTCTGATTGCATCCGCTTCACTGTGCTTATTTCTATGCTCCGGCATCTTCGGCAGTATGATCTGACTTCGAGATATGGTTGTGAGATTTTGGATCCATCACTGATCGTGCACAACTTGAAGCGCAGCAATTCGTAATGGTAGTATCTCTTGCTTTTGCATGTATCCTCTAGGTCTATTTCATCCCATGTACCGAGATTACTATTTCAAAACAGTCCTTCAGCCGAAGATAATGCCAACAAGCAACCGGTTGGACTGCACTCATTCCTGGCCCCAATCCAGGTTCATCCTGCCATTGCTAACCCGGTACTCCAGCAGCTTCGGCAGAACCTCGCGAGGATCCTTCGCCTCGACTAGGATCTTGCCATTGTCTGCACCAATGTACCCCTCCTTGACGGCATTCTGCACCCACGACAACAGCCCGTCCCAGTATCCATTGATGTTCAGCAACACAATTCCCAGATGGTGAATGCCCAGTTGATTCCAGGTCGTCATCTCCATGACTTCCTCAATGGTGCCAAACCCACCCGCCAGCGAAACGAATCCCGAACCGGGACCTCCCTCCATGACCTTCTCAGCCATGAGGCGCTTCCGCGTATGCATGTCCGGCACAATCGTCGTGGTTCCGTACTCGGACTCCCCGAGCAGAGCGGTCTTGTCAAGGGGTTCCTTGATGGTCCGCTCGGCACTCTTCCCGCTGCTCTCGGTGGGCTTCTCTTCCTCCCGCGTATTGTCGTAGCCTGGTTCAACGCGCACGAGCGCCCGGGGAATGACGCCGTGGACGGCTTGCGGGCCGGACAGGGAGACGAGCGTGCGCGCCAACTCGCCCATCAGACCCTTTGTGCCGCCGCCGTAGACGAGATGGACGTTGTTCTTGTGGAATTCGTGGGCTAGGGCGCGCGCTGTCTCCATGTGGATGGGGTCATTGCCTGCGCCTGAGCCGCAACTGTAAAGGATTGCATTGCGTCAATCAGCTTTCATCATGTGAGAGGTGGAGAGCTTGTTGTTTAGGAGCAACGGTATTCATTTGCGATGGATGGCGGGGTGGGGAGGCGTGGCTTACAAGACACAGACGACTGCAGGCTTGTCTTGTTGTGTGGTAGTCATGGTGATTGCTATGGGTTGTCACAGATTGGACAATCTATGCTTTAATGCTATCAAGAAAGAATACGTATTCAGTGTAATATTCGGAAACAATCGTTGGTAGGCGGGCGACGATAAATATATCTTGCGGATAAGCAGGGTACATTCCACAGCCTCAGGATCAGCGGAGCCAAAAAGATCAAAGAACAATAATAATCTTCTTGTTTATTCGGACATGATTTTGAGAATGCAACCATGTCTATGATCATGGGCAACAGCTTGTGCTCCTTTTCTGTACTGCTCTATGAGTCATCTCCGAGCAAATACCTTTACGGGTATGCGATAAGTTGCTGCAGCCTAGCTACCACATTGCTTGATCAGATCCATTTTTGGGTGCAATGATCATCAATATTGCACTGCCATTTGCCTTAGCTTCATCTAAATCTGGTAGCGTAGAGCTATGCCCTTGCTTGATTTACAAATAGTCGTATCAATAGTAAGTCCGAGCTGTTCAGTTATTGGGTATCTTGTCTCTAGAAGTTTAATACAATATGTGGGAGGCCATGTTTCAACCCCCAACTCGACCCTTTTTCTTCTTTAATCTACTCTCATCAGAGCTAGATGGAGTGCCGACCTTCTCAGGCCCCTTGCCTGGTGTATCAACTCTCACCAATGGAGTCCCCATCTTGGTAGGGATCGCATTTGGCGGCTGTTTTGCTGTCGCTGTCCGTTCTACGTCATTGGCCTTGGACATGATAAACGATCCAGGCTCGCCGACCAATGGATTCTCATCCATGTACTCGTCCCCATATCTGAGAAACAGATTGAGCGATTCGGCAAGTGTCCTCGTATCCTGGAATGTAGAAGCAGTGTTCCCCGTCTGCGACCCCACCAGCGGGACTCGGGCCGGATTCTCTGCATCGGGCATGGGCGTATTCTCCTTGCTCTGCTGAGACGGCACGCCAGGTTGACCGGCATCAGTCGGTTTGGGAGCTGGTGGTAGATAGGTATGTCCATGGGCTGGGGTGAAGGTCGGCAGCGTCGATGCGGTTTTCAGTAGACTGGTTAGGGATGTGACAGCAGAGAGCTGATGCGACTCGGTTAGCCATCCCTTCTCAAACGCGAAAGAAATAGAACCATTGTAAACGTACAATGCGGTTACCGACGACACTTGCAACTGAGGGAGCCATGTAGATACAATCCCCCACCACAAAGAATGTCGACAGGACCACCACCTCATCTTCCTGACCAGCGCGCTTTCGCCGCATTTGCTTGCGAATCACCCATACGTTCGAGGGTTCGTGAGCGAATTGAGTATCTGTCTGCGCTGCGGCTTGCAACGGATCGTAAGCGACGACGAACTCCAAGCCTTGCATAGTCCGCAACCGCCCTTCAAAGGCCTCGCGGGTCTCGACGAAATGGCGAAAGGCTTCATTGTAGTTGGCCTGAATAGCGAGGGAGGCGTTATTCGAGGTGGCATCGAAGAAGGGTGATTCTGCAAAATAGAATAGGACTGATCGTTGCTCATCGTGTCAAAAAGTTGGTTCTGAAGTCTGCAAGCTTGCTAAGCCCAGAAAAGCTGCCCTTACTGTTATTCGAATGCAGATATCCTCCCATCATCTGGACGTGCGGGGGAGACCGCCAGAGAATCTCCTCTAACGAAGCATCCTGAGGACCGGCCATTGAGATGCTCCTTAAACTTCCAGAATAGACTAAATTTGTAGCACGCGTAGAGGTCGAGAGCTAGGTCGCAACGATGCTCGATTGTCTTTCCAGGGATCGCGGGTGTAATCGCAGATGTTGACCCAGTTGATAGCTCTCTGCGGAGATAGAAAGTGATGTTTGGGATGTTTGCAGCGCGTTGATGATTGATATCAAAAAGCTGCCGCATTCCATACCGAGTAGAGCCTAAACTACTACAGAATATTGATGGTCATCGGAACTGCAAGGTACATGTGAAGAGACGCCGTTCCTCACTTGAAGAACCAAGTCACAAAAAATGAGAGTATGTATATTTTTGTCTAATGCCATATAGATTTCTTCATGAGGTATCTCGGAGTATCCTAACGCCATGCCGTAAGTCCCACACGCTGAATGTTGAATCGACCTTTATCGTCTAATGCCAATCGCGAATAAAAAGACGCTGCAAATGTTGAAGTATTCGCCTTGGTACCCAAAACATCATCACAAGAAAGAAGAAGCGCTCGCTATGGGTTAAGCGGAGCGAAAATCCCACAGACCGTACGCAACTTGGTTAACATCTCATCCCATTCCCCTTCGGGAGTACTCAGAGTGGTCACAGCTCCTCCGGCGCCAATTCGCCAGAGCTGCTCGTCATCTTGCTCATTTGAGCAGGTGAAAGCTGTGCGGATGAGCACCGAGAAGCTGCCCCCGCCACCGAGGTCCAGGAAGCCCATGATGCCCGAATAGACCCCACGTTTTCGGTCCTCGATTGAGCTTAGGTGCATGCATGAGCGTTCCTTAGGGGCACCGGTCATCGAGCCGGGCGGCAGACATCTTTGCAACGCGGTCAGTCCGTATCCGGACATGTTCGAGGAGGGTAATTGCGGCATATCCCGCGCGGCAAATCCGGGCCGATTTCGATCAACCCTGGCTTTGACATGAGTGATCATTTGATAGACACGTCCGTGATCCTCCACTTCCAGGAGTTTTTCTACGTGAACGCCCCCCGAGCCACAGATACCGTAGAGGTCGTGGCGGATCAGATCCGCGATCATGAGATTCTCCGCCATCTCTTTCGTCGATCCAAGAATTTCCCTGGCCTTCTCCATGGTCATATCTTCGGTTTTCCTCACAGTGCCCTTCATTGGCTTCATTTCCAGCGTAGAGTTTCGATCCCAGTTGAGGAAGCATTCGGGGCTGCTGCTGACAATCTTGACGTGACCTAGTCGCGCAAAACCACTGAAGGCGGCGGGGTTGTACTTCCTCAAACGCTTGTACAGCTTCCAGGGGAAACTGGCGCGGCCGCTCTGGCTAGCTGGAGAGGGTAACTTAATCGACGTTTCGCCAGTGAGACATAGTTCGTAGGATTCACCAGCCTCCAACTCAGCCTGACAAGCCTCGATCTGCCTCTGATAATTCTCCTGGGTTGGGAATTTGATGACGCTCTGCTTGAGGATAAAATCCAAGAACTCTGCCTCGGTGTTGCTGGTGCTGACTTTGCATTGACTCTTGCTACGTGCAAGGTCCTGTAAGAACTGCTCGGTCTGATGAAGCCATCCAGTCGGTAGATCATCGTCAGCCCGTGTTGACTGGACCGTGATTTGACCTGTCTTGTGGTCGACAACGATACTCCTTTCAGTCCACAGCAAACTGGCGTCGGCAGGATCTTCTCCAGTATTTTCGCTGGTCGGATGGATTTTCGCAGCTGTTTTGGGACGTGTAAGACAGGCGAGCCCCATTTCATAGGAAAAGTAACCCAGAAAACCTCCCCAGAACGGCACGGTGAGACTTCCTGAATCAACCTTCTTCATGTCCATCACAAACCTCAGCGTATTCCAGAATTGAGAGACCGACAAGGATCTCTCGATAATGTTCTCTGTGACTGACCGCCCACTTGGAGCACTTTCTGTCCCATGGCGTTCCTGCAGCTTCTCTAGCAGCAGTCTCTGAGTCTCAGCATAGTATTCGAGCCTCCAGCTGGCGAGGCTTGGCACCGAAATTATGCTGTGCCTCCCATTAGACTGAAATAGCACGGTTGGCGAGTCGGGGGCATTCAAGTTCTCGCAGATTACTTCGGCGTTGAGACTCTTCGCTGTGAAGGTACGATATGTGGAACAGGAGGAAGTGCTTGCGCTCCAATCCAACATTGTGGACGCGGCGTCGGGAAGAGTAATACTACCACTGGCGTAGTGGTTAGGGTCGGGAAGAATACCATATCCTCCACGCCCGGTCTTCTTGTTGTAATTTAGGGACATATCCCACCATCTTCTGAGCAACTCAGCGCAAGCTTCCCTGTCAGATTTGCACGATTCAGGGTGAAACTGCACCCCCCAAAAGGGTTTACTTTTGTGGCGCACAGCCATGGGGACCTGGGTCTTTCCGTCCTCTAGGAAGAACCAAGCTAGAAGATCGAGGTCCTTGGAAGCGAATCGATCGGCATGAAGGTTTTGACTATCGGCCTTCCCAGTCAACTGTTCCGGAGCATCCAATTTGGCATAAAGCGAGTGATAAAGCGTCACCTCGACATCTCGCACGTTTTCGAAAATGTCCTTTTTCAAAGTCTTGATTCGATGAACCTGGCCATGTAGTGGATATGGCAGTCGTCCTATAGGAATGCCCTGATAAAGACAGAGACTCTGAAAACCAAGACAGATTCCGAACACAGGTAACATATCCGCGCCGCTCAGGCTCCAAATATCCTGCATGATGCCGACATCTTTGGCAATATTCGGATCACCTGGACCAGGGCCAAGCACGACAGCTTCGAAATGCTGCAGGTAGTCGACCATGTTGCCGTCTGGCCAGTCGGAGTCGATGGTTATCACCGAGACCTGAACCTCCAGAATTTCTTCGAGCATTGCGACAACATTATAGGAGAAGGAATCGTATGCATCAATGTAGAGGACATTTCTTCGAGCAGGTGCATCAACACTCGAGCCAGATGACTGACCAGCACCTGAAGCCGTCTCATCGTCGCCTATAAATGGCGCCATATTGCTGTGGCCCGGAGGCTCCAACGGTACTCACAGAGAAACCCCAAAAGGCGAGTGTGTCAGAGTGCGAGATGAAAGTTGAACGCAATTATCCAACACTGTGATCAACCAAGGGAAAATGAATCAAGAACGTCCAGAGTGTATCTAGTCGACAGCGAGAATTCATCGCCAAACCGCTATCTCCGAGAGTGGCGATAGGTAAACTTTCACACTGTCCTCCTACTTGAGGAGCCAGTTATTGATCAGTTAATCATTTCCATGGGAATATTGAATATACTGGAAATATTTTAGAAGTCCAAAGGAGTTGAAACATAAAAAAAAAGAAAAATCATGAATGAATAGGAGTGA